CACATACCGCCTCTTGAAGAGGGCAACTATAGGGTATGGCAAGAGAAGTATGAACTAGCACTTGCGCTATCTGAAAATGACCTAGCACTTACCTCCCCATGTCCTACTAAGCCAGTGGACCCGGTGAGGAAAGAAAATGAGTCTGATGCTGATTTCACTGCTCGGTAGCGAGATCATGCAGAAGTGCGGATGAAATATGATCTCGAACACAAGAAATGGGACATTTCAAACCGCAAGTGCTTGATGGTGGCTAAGTCTACTATTTCAGATGTGATAAGAGGGTCTATCCTAGATTGTGATACCGCCACAGAGTATCTTAAGAAAGTGGAGAGTCAGTTTACTGGCTCTTCAAAGGCTTATGCCAGTACTTTGATCAAGAAATTGTTTAATGAGAAATACACTGGTGGCGGTATCAGAGAGCACTGAAGATGAGCAACGCGGCTTCGAAGCTGAAGCCAATGGATTTGGGGCTCAAGGATGAGTTCCTTATTCATTTGGTTTTTGCTTTCTTGCCTAAAGAATATGAAACTTTTGTTGTGAACTACAACATGCAGCCCCATAAGTGGGATATAGAGAAGCTCATTGCAATGTGTGTTCAAGAAGAGGAGAGGCTGAAAAGCTCACAGGGTGACTCTGCTAACTTTGTGAATGACAACAAGAAGAAGAACTTCAATAAGAATGCCAAACCTCAAGGGAAAGCCTCTCAGACTGAGCACCATTAAAAGAACAACAATGCCCAAGTTGAAAAAGATCAGTGTAAATGGTGCAAGCAGCGTGAACATTACCAAAGGGACTGTCCAGACTTTCTGAAAAGCCTTCTGAAGAGAGGTGAGGATTTCATTACATTCATAGATGAATCCTTGTATTTAAGTTATGCAAAATCTACTTTGTGGATTGATTCAGGTGCAGCTGTTCATGTTGCAAATTTATTACAGGGATTTCGTACGAGGAGAACCCTGCAAAGAGGAGAAAGAAGGATTAAAGTTGCAAATAAAGTTGAAGCTATTGAAGATCTTTCTCTAGAATTAGATGATGGTTTTAGACTTCAGCTTTCAGATATTCTTTATGTACCCTCTTTGCGTAGAAACTTGATAAGTGTTTCAAGATTAGATGATGATGGATATGATTGCCATTTTGGTAATGGCAAATGTCGGTTTGTGATTAATAATAAGTGTGTTGGTCTTGCCTTCCGACAAGACAAGTTTTATTTATTTTCACTTTCTAAGAATGTGAATGATGTGAGCACTGAGAATGAGAATGCTTCCTCGTCTATGAATGCAACAAATAAGCGAAAGAGAGTGCATGATGTATCTTCAAAATTATGGCACTGTCGTTTAGGCCATATTTCGAGGGGGAGAATAGAGTGATTGATTAAGAAATCAATTCTTCCGCCTTTAGAATTTTCAGATTTAGAACAATGCATTGATTGCATAAAAGGAAAATACGTTAAGAAAATAAAGAAAGATGCCAAACGAAGAGTAGGAATTTTAGAAATAATTCACATAGACATCTATGGTCCTTTTCCTATGAAGAGTGTGGATGGTTATGATTCATTTATAACATTCATAGATGATTATTCTCGTTTTGGCTATATTTATCCAATTAAAGAAAGATCGAAAGCATTGGATAAATTTAAGATATTCAATGCTGAAGTAGAAAATCAGCACAACTAAAAGATTAAGGTAGTAAGGTCCGACCGTGGGGCAGAGTACTACGGTCGACACATCCCATATGGCCAAGTTCCTGGACCCTTTGCAAGGTTCTGACAGGAAAATGGCATAGTTGCCCAGTATTCTACACCGGACGAGCCTCAGCAGAATGGAGTAGCTGAAAGACGCAACAGTACATTAATGGATATGGTGAGAAGCATGATAAGTTACTCTACCCTACCGATAAATTTATGGATGGAGGCGTTAAAACCGCCATTCATATTCTTAATCAAGTGTCAAGTTAGTCGGTGTCCAAAACACTGTATGAGTTGTGGATAGGAAAGAAACCCTCACTTAACTATTTACGTGTGTGGGGTTATCCAGCTGAGGCAAAAGTCTTTAACCCAAATATAGGGAAGCTAGACTCCAAGACAGTCAGTTGCCATTTCATTAGCTATCTAGAAAAGTCAAAAGGTTACCGCTTCTATTGTCGTGACAGACAAACAAAATTTGTAGAAACAAGACATGCTGTGTTCTAGGAGAATCATATGATCAGGGTGAGCATGGTAGTGCGAGAAATTAATTTTAAAGAGAAGCGAATATACGTGCCCACTCCGATGGTTTAGGAACCATTCTTTATGCTACCTGTTGCTACTATACCAACAGTGCAAGACACTGTAGTAACAGCACCTATTGCTAGTTCTCCTATGGCAACAATGAATGAATATGAGGAACCTGTCGTTTAGGATCCCATAGAACCCGTTGTCACACATGAGGAAGAGCAAAAACAGCCTCATATAGAACAAGCATCATCTAACAATGCCCCTAGAAAGTCTCAAAGAGTTAGGAGATCAGTCATTCCTGAAGATTACGAAGTTTATGAATGTGAGGAATTTCAAATAGAGGGTGATCCCACCTCATTTGAAGAAGTCACGAGAAGCGCTCACTCATCAAAGTGACTTGAAGCCATAGAAGTTAAAATTAAATCAATAAAAACCAATGGTGTTTGGGACATAGAAACAATTCCTAAAGGAGTCAAGACAGTAGGTTGTAAATGGGTCTACAAAACCAAACATGACTCCAAATGGAATATAGAAAGATTCAAAGCGTGACTTGTGTCGAAACGCTTCGCGCAAAGGTAAGGTATAGATTATAATGAGACATTTTCTCCAGTCTCATGTAAGGATTCTTTTAGAATCATAATAGCGCTTGTAGCACATTACGATTTAGAATTACATCAGATGGATGTAAAGACGACGTTCCTAAACGGGGTTCTGGAGAAAAATATTTACATGGCACAACCGAAAGGGTTTGTTGTGGAAGGAAAAGAACGTATGGGATGCCGCCTGAAGAAATCCATTTATGGATTAAAACAAGCTTCAAGACAGTGGTATTTGAAGTTTGATAGTACAATAAGAAAGTTTGGGTTTCAAGAAAATATAGAGGACGATTGCGTTTATGCGAAGTTCAAGAATGGGAAATATATTTTCCTAGTCTTGTATGTGGATGACATCTTGCTCGCTAGCAATGATGTTAATCTACTACTAGAAACAAAGAAGTTCTTGTCCTCAAAGTTTGATATGAAGGATCTCGGTGAATCTTCGTTCGTCCTAGGAATAGAGATTCACCGAGATAGAGAAAATAGGGTTTTAGGATTATCACAAAAGGCATACTTAGAAAAAAGTTCTAAAGAAATACAGTATACAAAATTGTAAGTCTTCACTTGCTCCCATAGTCAAGGGCGATAGATATGTGGAATTTCAATGTCCTAGGAACCAATATGAGATCGAACAAATGAAAGTGGTTCCATATAGTTCAGCTGTTGAAAGTTTACAGTATGCTCAAGTGTGTACTCGCCCTGACTTAGCATTTGTTACTAGGTTACTAGGTAGATATCAGAGTAATACAGGAATAGAACACTGGAAGTTAGTAAAGAAAGTTTTACGTTACCTACAAGGTACGAAGGGTCTCATGCTAACGTACAGAAGATCTGATTCCCTACACATAGAGGGGTATACAGATTCTAATTATGCGGGAGATGACAGAAAGTCCACGTCAGGATACATATTCACTCTCGCAAGCGGAGTTATATCGTGAAAAAGTTCAAAGCAAACCATCACTATATCGTCCACAATGTATGCCGAGTTTGTAGCATGTTATGAGCCCACAAGGCAGGTGAATTGGCTAAATAAATTCATGCCCAAGTTGAAAGTGGTAGATGACATACATAAACCACTCAAGTTATACTACGATAATAATCCAACAGTATGTTATGCTCACAACAATAAGTCAAGTGGTGTAGCCAAACACATTGACAAAAAATATTATGTTGTGAAAGACAAAGTCCGGAATCATATAATTAGTCTTGAACATATAAGAGCAAAAAAGATGCTCACGAATCCGCTTATAAAAGGCTTACCACCCAGCGTGTTCAGAGAACACTTAACCGTCATGGGTTTAAGGGAAAGCCAATGATTCATGAACAATGAGGGCCTAGTCGAGAATCTATTTCAAAATAGAAAGGTGCATTTTAGCTGTTTAATCTAATGGCAACAGATCGTGACGATGAGGCACGCTCTATGCTCTGATCTGTGATGGAATGAGAACGAGATAAAGTAAGTTAAGTTTAAGTCGTATGGAGAGATCAAGGAGCAAAATATTAGATTGATCCCACCAATTTGGCCCAACGGCCAATTGGGCCTTGATCCGTGCTCTGATCGGGGCGTCTAACCCTAACTATGGTTGGTGGACCCCCGTCGCATAGCGCCATAAAAGGAAGATAGGGGCCAGGGCACAAGGCACGAGGTTCACCTGAGCCGCCAGACACCCCACCTAGATCCCAAACCCTAACCGATTTAGAGAGGGGGCGCTGCCAACGACGAGAAACACCGCCACCGGCTTCACCCCGCCTCTGCACCGCCACCCTGTGACTGCACCTCCACTGCGTCACCATCACGCCTTCACCGAGTCACCACCGCACCTCCACCACGCACCAGTGATGGCCAGCTCGTCTTTGTCGAAGGTGGCCCATAGTTTACATCTCTGCACCCCTCTCTCTATCTCACTCTGTTTTTTCATTACAAGTATATGATCTAGGATTTACTATTTATCCCAAATATCAGTTACATCCGGCTAATCTACTCATAGCCGATCCTATGTAACTATCGGTTATTACACGCAGTATTGGTGTTATTACATCCTCTGTACTGCACTTGGTTGTTTGTTCTTGCGCCCATGCGGGCTCGGCCTTCTTCAGCTGCCTGCTCCGCAGAGGCCGGGCTCCTCTGGGAAATTCATTATGGATGAGCTTGTTGCAGCAGGCCAGCAAGGCAGTAACTATATAATGTCCGACTACACCACGTGCACAACGAAGTTGCCGCTGTCCTCGTCGTCGTCGTCGTTCCACCGGCCGGAGTCAGACATGCTCCGTCGCCGGCTGCCTTTCTTCCTCGACTCGAGGAGCGGTGTGCCGCCGCCACCACCGCCACCCTCGTAGCTCACCTGGCACGCCTCTGCCTCTGCGGCGATCTGTTCGCACCGGATGAGCTGGTGCATGACCTCTTTCATCGACGGCCGCGTCAGCGGGTTCTCCCTCGTGCAGATGACGCCGAGCGTGAACACCGACAGGATATCCTGCATGTAGGCCGGCTCCCGGATGGCCTCGTCGACGATGTCGTCGAACGGTGCGCCTTTCTGGTACCGTCGCCATGCCCATTCCGCCAGGCAAAGGTCCGCGCCGCTGTCGTTCGCGACCTTGCCGGTTGTAAGCTCTAGCAGGACGACGCCGAAGCTGTAGACGTCCACCTTCTCGTTCACCTTTGGCCTGTACCCGTACTCTGCAGAGTTGCCATTGCCACACATCAATCAGCACTGCAGATGCAAATTTTCAAAGATTGAAAATTGAAATTGAAATGGCTGGCAACTGAAATCTCTGAGCTTCTAACCTGGAGCCATGTACCCGAATGTCCCGCCGATGGCTGACACGGACTGGGGCTCGCCGGACTTGACGAGGATCCGCGCGAGCCCAAAGTCGGCGATTTTGGCCTGGAAGTCCGGGTCCAGCAGGATGTTGCTGGACTTGACGTCGCGGTGCACGATCGGGGGAGCGCAGTCGTGGTGCATGTAGCTGAGCCCCTTGGCCGCGTCGACGGCGATGGCGAGCCTGATCGGCCAGTCCAGCGGCGCTGGAGCGCCCTCCCGGTCTCGGTGGTGCAGCCACCGGTCCAGGCTGCCGTTCTCCATGTACTCGTACACCAGCAGCTTGGCTTCCTGGCTGGAGATGCAGCACAGCAGCTTCACGATGTTGTTGTGCCGGATGTTGCCCAGCACCTTCACCTCCGACTCGAACTCCTTGTCCAGCTTCTCCTCGACCTTCCTCGAGTTCCATATCCTCTTCACGGCGACCATCCTGCCGTCGCCGCCGCCGATGCCGCGCTCCTCGTCGTGGCTGGCGTTGCCGTTGCCGAGATGGATCCGGTACACCTTCCCGGACCCGCCGCTGCCGATCACGTTCTCCTCGCGGATGTTGCTGAGCACGTCCGACTCGGAGAAGTTGAGCTGGGTGAACGCCGTCATCTTCCAGTCCGTCACCTCCTGGCTCTCCTTCCGGCGCCGGAAGAGCAGCCACGCAATGCCGACGCTGCCGACGAGGACAATGGCAGCGAGCAACGCGAAGAGGATGATCAGGCCCTTGGAAAGCTCGTCGTGGCTCCACCGGCCTCCACCTCGGCACGTCGGGAGGTTCGTGCCTGAGTTCGCCCTGGCACAGAGCCAGTTGCCGAGGAAGCTCTGGTCGTAGGCCGCGATCTGCAGCTGCGCCGGCACCTCGCCGGTGAGCTGGTTTGATGACAGGTTCAGCAAGTTGAACACGTTGCTTACGTCTGACGGGATGCTGCCGGTGAGCTCATTGTCGGACAGGTCAAGCATCGTCAGTGCTGGGAGAAGACCGATGCTCCCCGGCGGTATGGCGCCGGACAGCCGGTTGCCTCTCATGATGAGTGAATTTAGTTTCTGCAGCAGCTTGATCGATGTTGGGATGGAGCCAGAGATCCGGTTGCCGGGCACGTACAAGTCAGTAAGCTTGGCGAGCTTGCTCATGTCAGACGGCAGCTCGCCGCCCAGCCGGTTGTTCTCCGCATGGAGCACCATGAGCCCTGGTGCAGAGGCCGGGAAGGAGCCGGAGAACATGTTGTTGCCCATCTCAATTCGTGAAATGTTGGGGGATATCTGGTCCGGCAGCGTGCCGGTGAAGCTGTTGTTCTGGATCTTCACCAAGGTCAGCTTCGGGAACGACCATATCTTCTCCGGGAAGTCGCCGGAGAAGTTGTTGTTCTGGAGCATCAGGTTGTTTAAAGTTCTGCAGTCCCCGAGTTCTGCGGGGAGCTCGCCTGAGAAGTTGTTGTTGAAGGCGACAATGTCGTAGAGCTTCCCGTTGGCGCAGAGCGACTCTCGCAGCGGGCCAGAGAGGTTGTTGACGGACACCTCAAGGTTGCCCAGCGGCGAGTGCTTGCCCAGCTCCGGCGGGAGCTCCCCGGAAAGCTGGTTTTGGAACAATCGGATGTCCCTGACCTGTGGTAGCAGCCCGATGCTCGCCGGGATGGTACCGGTGAGCTGGTTTTTGTATAGAAACAGGTAGGTGAGGTTCTTGAGATTGCCGAAGTCTTCCGGTATCTCTCCGGTGAGCTGATTCGACGACAAATCAATCTGAACCAATTTCAACGCCGTCACGCTGCGCGTCAGCTCGCCAGAGAGGCCATTGTCGAACAGGTAGATGCACTGGAGCTTCTGATGCTGCCACACCCATGCCGGGATCGAGCCGTTGAGCTCGTTCGACGCCAAGGACAGAGTAGTGAGTTCCGTGAGGCTGGAGAAAGCCTCCGGGATCTCCCCGGTGAGGTTCATTTTGTCCATCCAGAGATAGGTGAGGTTGGTCAGCTTGGCGAACTCCGCAGACAAGGGCGCCGGCGCGAACGCGTTGTCGGCCAGCGTGAGCGTCTCGAGACCGGCGAGGTTGCTTATCTCGGCCGCGGGGTACGCGCCCGTGAAGTTGTTGGTGTCGAGCACCAGGGACCTGAGCGCCGGGAACCCCGCCACCGCGGGCGGCACCACTCCGGTGAAGCTGTTGGTGGAGAGGTTGAGGTGCTCAATCGCCGGCGAGAGGCGGTCGATGTCGCGCGGGAGGGGGCCCGAGAACTGGTTGTTGGAGAGGTCGAGGAAGCTGAGCCCCGCGCAGGCGTACAGCGCGGCGGCGGGGAAGGCGCCGGTGAGGTTGTTGTAGGAGAGGTCGAGGCGGGTGAGACTCTCGAGCGCGCACACCGATGCCGGGACGGAGCCGGTGAGTTTCAGGCTGGACAGGGTAAGCTCGGTGACGACCCCGCCGCCGCCCGTGGCGCACCTGACGCCGGTCCAGTTGCAGTGGTTGGGGGCGGCGGCGGGGTCCCAGGACCTGAGCTGCGGGGGGCTGCCCCACTCCTTCTTGATGGCGAGCAGCGTGTCGCGGTCGCTGGGGCCGGCGCCGGTGCCGGCGGCCGGCTGGGAGCGGCCCTCGCCGGCGAGGAGGAAGAGGAGTAGGACGAGCAGCAGGGGAAAGCGGCGGCAGCACGTGGTGGGCCCAGACATTTTGTTCTTTTTTTCTTCTTCTTGGATGGAAGCTTCCTCGGCTGTGCTGTGATGTGAGGAGGTGAGGTGAGGTGAGCTGCCGAACAGAGCAGCTGAGATGAGGAGTAGAGGACGGGGAAGAGATTGGAGTGAGGCCACGGGAGTGATGGCTGGCTGGTGTGCGAGTGCGTGCGCGGCTGTTATACGTGTGAAAAGCAAAAGGGTGTGCGAGTCGTTGGTCAGCGCCAACGGTCTCCGGCTACCGTTCGGTGGCCCACCGATGCATAGTTAGCCCTCCTTTGGCATGGCTCCCGAACCAGCTTTTGCAGCAGCTTTTGCATAAGCTGTACCAAACGCCCGTATTGAAAACGACTTCCTCGCGTGAACCGGCAAAAGCCGTATGCCGAAATCAACTGAACGTCGCGAGCCAGAAATAATGGCTCCCCACGGCTTCTCCCCGTCTGCGTACAGAAAGTTCAGAGAAATTACCGGTTTGCCACTGCCCTTCCTCACTCTCACCCATCTGGCGGCGGCGTTGCGGCCATGAACCGGCTGGGGCGGACGGCCGGAGGCGGGCGAAACGGCGGCGCAATGGATGGATCCGGCGGAGGGCATCCTGATCCACCTGCTCGTTTTCCCGGAGGCGCGGCTTCCCTCATCCGTAAAGATCGCTTCTCTTCATCCACGGCGCCGCGCCCCCCCACAACCCGCCGGGCGCCGCCTCCATTCAGCCGCCCCCTTCGCCACCGGTGCCGCCTCCCCTCGGTGCCTTCTCTTCATCCGCCGGGTGCCGCCTCCCTTGAGGCCGTGGGTCATGGCACGACGGTTGTGGGCGGGCCGCCTTGGGCGCGGGTGGATGGCGAGGCGCCACACGGCCTTTTTCGCCGCTGCAGCCATGGCGCTGCGACACTGGACCGTCTCTCTGGAAGGCGCTGGACCATTTGTCAGAGCCATGGCCGCCGCCGCCACCGGAGAATGGCGGATTGGTGGAGAGCTTCACCATGGCTCACGGAGGCTCTGGGGCTCGATTGGCTCGGCTGGCTCGGTCCAGAGGCGGTGTGCACCGGAGGAATCAAGAGGAAGTGCCCATTGTGGCCAATCCAAGTCGCCGTCGTGGTGGGAGAGGTGGGAGAGGTGGGAGAGGTGGCGTGCACCTAGGCCACTGCAGCGGTCAAGGCGCGCCCATCGATGTCGATGTCGATCTCTTCGATTCCGGTGACAAATGCTACTCTTTGTAATACACATTCCATAATGCATTGGGAGAAGATAGAAATTTTTGTATGAAATTGATCTGCCATACTTGCTGTTTTGAGTGTTCGATTTTGTTGGCTTATAACAGCAGTGCCGATTGGTGTGATGAGAATACCCGAATAGTGTGTGAGCTTTTTGCAGCCGAAGTAATGATAGGAAATCGTGACAACACTCATTTAAATAAGGCTGGGTATAAGAATGTAATTGAAAAGTTCAAACAGAGGACTGGGATTGAGTACAACAGAAAACAATTCAAAAACAAATAGGATAGGTTGAAAACTGATTATGTTATATGGAAGAAATTGACCAACAAGGAGACGGGCATTGGATGGGATGCAGCTCATACAAATATTGTTATGTCAGAGGCATGGTGGAAGAAGACAGCAAAGGTGAGTGCAACATTACCAGTGCATTTTTGGCCTCTTTTCAGGCACTAATAGCTTATGATAGTTATGTGATAAACCATTCTTTTGTTTCATTACAGGCTATAAAGGGAGCTAACAGATTTAAGAATAAGGGCCTTCAAAATGAGGACCAGCTGGGGATTATGTTCGAAGATCTTCGCAACACTGGTGATGATCATTGGTCTGCCTCTACTGGTGTACGGCCATCTGAAGCAAACTTGACTCGTGAGGATGCACCATTCCCTGTTGATGATGATGAGGATGATGATGCAGCCGGCGATGATGATGACAGTGAGCCAGAAGAAGTGACACCTACAAGTGTGAGAGGAAAGAGATCTAGAGTGACTGAGAGCATAAGGGGAAGGAAACCAAAGACCGCTACTAGTCAATGGTTTCAACAACAGATGGGAAAAATTGTGGACATGAATGAGAGAACGACCGCATCTTGTGAGTCTATTGCAAGGAGGGAGGATACATCTGGTTGTTCCATCCAAGATGTAATGGCATTGGTTAAGGATTGTGGTGCTACAAGTGGGACAAATGAACACTTCATTGCATCCATAGTTTTTACCAAGAGAGCGGAAAGGGAGATGTTTATGACTTTAGACACCGCCGAGGAGAGATTCCAGTGGTTGACGAAGAAGTATGAGTGGATGACTAGAAATGACTAGAAAAAACTGTTCATTCCAGCTTGTATTAGTTCCAACAATTTGTGCTAGCTTGTATTAGTTCCAACAATTTGTGCTAGCTTGTATTAGTTCGAACAATTTGTGCCAGCTTGTATTAATTCCAACAATTTTTTACTACTATTATTCATGGTATTGGCTGTTGCTTATTCATGTGTCCTGTTTAAATGACAGTGGTTCTTCTGATGCTGATGAATGGGCTTCAAAGACTATTGAGCTGATTCGGTCGGTGCAGAACAACCTTTTTGCAAGCGCTGTTGTTGCAGGGAAATATTTTATGACATATCATGACAAGCATGAAACTGCTATGCCAGGTCAAAGCGGATATGGTTGGACTCTGGAAAAACTAAACACTCCAGGTCAAAGTCATAAGATGTTCAGGATGACTGCATCTGTCTTTTACAGTCTGCATGATCTATTAGTGAGTACTTATGGGCTCAAGTCATCCCTTCATATGAACTCTATCGAATCACTTGCCATCTTTCTAGTTGTGTGTGGTCATGGTTGGTCTAATAGTGCTCTACATGGTGTATTCAAGCGTTCTGGGGAGACAATAAGCAGAAAATTTGATGAGGTCCTCACGTGTGTGGTGGCTATGTGTCAGGATTACATACGGCCAATTGATCCTAATTTCTGTACAACACACACTAGAATTACTGGAGATCGCAGGATGATGCCATATTTTAAGGATTGCATTGGAGCACTAGATGGTACTCACATTTCAGCGACACCATCTCAGCATGATTTTATTAGATACATTGGTCGAACCGGCAAAGCAACCCAGAATGTTCTTGCTATTGTTGACTTTGATTTGCGATTTACATATGCTTCTATAGGGCAACCTGGCTCTATGCATGACACTAGTGTGCTCTTTCATGCATTAGAACATGATCATGACACATTCCCCCACCCTCCTGTAGGTATGTTAACCTATTTGTATGTAGAATGCTAACATTAGTACATCTTGTAATTGCTTCCTTATTTGTCTTTCCACATGTGTGTCCAGGGAAATATTACGTTGTCGATGCCGGATACCCAAATCGGCCTGGATATTTGGCGCCATACAAGGGTGAAAGATACCATGTACTGATTGGCGGAGGGTCCGGCTCCTAGTGGTGAGCAAGAGCTTTTTAACCATTTGCACTCCAGTGTTCGTAATGTGGTAGAGCGTACTTTTGGTGTGTGGAAAATGAAATGGAGAATCCTTCTCAAGATGCCGAGTTACCCTTTGGAAAAGCAAATGATGATTGTTGCAGGTACCATGTGTCTTCATAACTACATTCGTGAGAATCATGCACTAGATAAAGATTTTCGAAAGTGCGATCGGAATCCTGATTATGTGCCTATTATACCTGAGAGATATGCAGCACATCATCCTCCTCGGAGTGCTTCAGATAGTTCAACTCGACATTCTAACGATCGAAGCATGGATAGATTCCGTGATGACATTGCAAGGGCAATATTTCTTTCTAGATCATCGTGATATTGTATTGTTTGTATGGTTGGATGCTATGTGTATCCCTTGAATGTATTATTTTGTCAACAGCACTTTGTAACGACCACCTAATTATTATCTTACCTATATTTTATATTTTTTTATTTCACAAAAATCACATTATTAATAGAGTCAACGCATAAAACTCATATCTCCAAGCAATAAACATATGCAAGGGCACAATGGACAATTGACATCTTCTATACATTCTAAAAAGGTATGAGAATCCGTTTTGCCAAACGTTTTCGTACAAAATAAGTCAAAGCCAGAAAAAGCTGCTTTTCCATAGAAGCCAGAGCCAGAGCTGTTTTTCCACGAGCCAGAGCCGTGCCAAACGGGCCCTTAGTCGCGCACCCAGGGTGATGGATGCTAATCTCTCTGTTAGAATCCAGTTCCCATAGTCAGCTCCTACTGACCTCGGTTAGTGTTTTATAAAAAAAAACTGTAATAACTAAGTACAACTAAACTAATCTCAATTACTCCATAGTCCAGTACTCGAGTTGCTCATTCTTTTCGTTCCTTCGGACTTCAGACAGTGTTGATGACTATGGGTACACAGGCATTGGTAACTATGCAAGTCACGTGATAATTTCAATCGTACTCGGCCACTTTGGGCACGTTTGCAGCCAAGGAATTCTACGGGATGTATTTCGTAGAAACCAATTTAATTCCACACAAAAGATTGTAGGAATAAGTTAGAAAAGATTTCAGCATTCTACGCATGGTCTCAGTAAGTACTCAATCAATACCCCATATCCTGATAATTCAAATGTATATCAAAGCACTTTCATGTATGCTATATACTATTGTCATCGATGTACACTACTATAAAAGTTGTTTTAAGAGACCATGACTTTTATTTTTAGAAGTATCATTTTTATCTTACCATCTCTATAAACCATTCTACCACCTCAAAGAATTTAGAGACCGACCCCTTAAATGAATCTTATACTCTTGTAAAGCAAAATCTCATTACCTATTTCTATCAACATGCAAGCTATCCAACTAGGCAATCCACTGTCACACACAATTAAAAATCCAATAGCCCATGCAATTGTAATGTCCACGTCAGCAAGTCACATATTTCTCTCAACATGCAAGCTGTCCAACTAGGCAATGCACTATCACACACAATTAAAATACACTAGCACATACAATTGTAATGTCCATATCAGCAAGACACGT